TGGAGCAATTCATTTAAGCTGCTCCAACAAATCTCTCTTCTCCAGTGTACTCATGTGTTGAAGTATTGTTCTATAAAGCAAAGCAATCTGCCTTCATAATGTTGAAATTAAACCAAAATAATGACAGCCAAGGTGCAAATCCAATCAAATCAATTAATTTGGGTGAAGTATTCCTTTAAGGAGCAGAGCAACATACAGTCCTGAGGAGGCGAGATCATCAAAAGGAAACCTTAAATTATCATGTGACAGTCTTTCATGATGAAGTAAATCTCACTAATGTTCTAAAGCATATTGTGGCAACACACATGGCTCATGCTGAATAACAACAAAAGATATATCGTCCTTAAAGGAGGGAAATCGTGCAAAATCCTTCTTTTTTTTGGAAACACAATTACATGTATCTGCTGTATCTAGACGCTCACAAAATATGAGAAAACAGCATCTCTTTGTTTATTTCTCTTCTCCAAAGATCGGAAAGTTAAGCCGTCCAAGTTTTTGATGTCAAACGAGCAGTAGTGGCTCATTTGGAATTAAAGCTACAGAACAGGAACTCAGGGAAATTATAGAAATGGTAGAACGAGCGATCTGTTCGTTATTTTGAGCTTCAACTTGAGACACACATTCTGGTGAGACTTGCACAATGTGGGACCTTTAAATGTATAAATGCAGTCGCTTCCTTTCTAACTTCGCTGTGCTTGTCTTTGTGTTCCTCAGGGGTGGGATGATCCAGACGTGTGAGCAGTACCAGTTTGTGCATCATGTCCTCAGCCTGTACGAGAAGCAGCTGTCTCACAGTGCCGAGGAGTAGAGCGAGCGCAGCGCCCAGACCGAGACACACCACTGTACACTGTACCGCCTCTGTTGGTATGCACCACTGTACCTAGCGTCATCTCAATCTCACCCTTTAACAAGCTCCAAACCATCTCCTCATCCACGGCAGGCTCGCTCAGACAGGACTGACATGGGTGACATGAAATCTGTGCTTATCGTATGTCTTTGGGATTTGAGATAGCCCTCCCAAACATCCTGATCACACTCTTTATTAGTCCACACATTCCCGGAGAGGCCTGAAACGATCCGAGCCCTGCACTCCCGGCGTCATTTCATTTGCACCGCTGAGGTTTCTGTCAGTCATCAAGGCCTTGTTTTGCACTCGGTCTCAAGTAGTTCCCTCACATACTGACTGTACAGTTATCGAGAGGTTAAACTGGAACTGAGGTATAATCAACTCGCCTGCAGTGGTGTCAGTTTGCTGTAAGGAAATTCAAGTTCAGTCTAACAGAGTTAGTGTTGATACTAAGGGCCCTTTACAGTATAAGTGCCAGCATAATTTAAATCTACAGAGATAATCAAATGCCAGCCTAATATTTAACACTATATTGATATAAAAAAGTTCACATGAAATATAAGTTAACTAGCATCTAGCCTTTTTTCTCACTGACTCTCACTTTTAATGTAAAAAAATAAAATAAAAATAAAAAACTCATTACAGAAGGCCTGTTTCGACTTCAGGAGTCACCTCATCTTCAGGTTGCATGGTGCTAAGTGTTCATTAAAGGCATGTGCAATGTTATGGAACATAGGAATGTATAACAATTAGGTTATTAATTAACTAATTAGGATTTCTGTGCAATCTACAGTATTACAGTTTTACCATGCTGCCTGTGCAGTCCTCATGGCCCATGATGTTTACAGTCGACAACTTCTGCATTAAGGCCACATAGACGTTCACTCAGAGGCGTCACAGAGCCAGCGATACTGAGGGCACAGAGGCCAAAAATAGAACCACGCCATCAGAGAAAATCAATGCGGAGCTCTGGAGAATCTGACGAGTACACAATCAACGTTTCCAATGACACACACTGGAGGGCGTGTAGCAGAGGAAAGCAAAAAAAGTTGCATAAACAACCGCGCCATAAATCAAAAGCTAATATCCTTGTAAATGTCCTGTTTGTGAAGCTTGTCACCCTCAGAGTGTCCTGCTCTGCGACGCCTCTGCTCTCAACAGTAGCTTGAACACATCTGTGAAGTAAGAAGCCCATGATTGTTGTATAGACAGGCCAGGCCTAATCTGTATGAAGCACAAATAGACCAACTAAGGTTGTCTCTCTGATGTTCAGCTGTAAAAGTTCTTTTTTCCGTATTGTGTTTTGATTGTGTTGAGTTTAATGGATTGCATGTGCTGTATGGGACTCCATAGGTCCACAATCAAAGCGACGTGATTGGTTGTCCTGCTTTTTGTTGTGTAAAAGGGTTTAAGCCTATTATATTGCTTGCTCTCGGCCAATGCTTTTGATACAGTTTGCTTTTGTGAAACCAACCAGAGATATTTTTAGAACATTTTGATACAATCCTTTCGAGTAGATGCCTTGTGTATATTTCCGTTTACACCATGATGGAATGTAGCTCATACTGTGGATCAAACCATCGGTTTATATTGCAAGATTTAACGGAACAAAATGTGACAACTACCTAAGTTACCTTACAGTACAGAATATAAATAGATTACGTTCAGTCTTCAGTATTATTACTTTAGGCCTTTAGGCTTTGCTTTAATATGCTTTGCTTTCTGTGTACGTTTTTATCGTTTTTTCTCGGAGAATTTTACCTCAGACTGAGTTTTTACGCAGTCCCCACTCTATTCCATCTGTGACTCTAGGCCACTCTCAGTTGACAACATGAGAAATAATTGCTATATGTAAGGCAGCTAAAACAGTGAAGACAGTTTTATATGTAACACAAATCAAGCAACTTCTTTGGCCGTGAACATTATCAGAGGATAAATTTAACTGCGTGGGCTTGGACCAATTTCTAACCATCAGATCAAATAGGAAAAATAAAACTGCCAAAAATGACCTTTTACAGGAACCCAGGGCTGAAGATTGACAAGAAAAAAGCTACAATCTATTGTCAGACTTCTGACATAATCCTCTGATAATGTCCAGTGTACTCGACTGAACAGCTTTTATTTTGAGTGCTTGTTGTCAGTGCTTAACTGGTCCTCTTCTGACGATCAAACTGGGGATGACGAAACAGCCAAACAGTCAGACATACAACCAACCAGCAATCAGTATTCCTCTCCTCTCTGCTACAGTATCGCTTTAAGTTGTGAGTTTTTGCATCCAAATAAAGGTAGATTTTCATGAGTCTGTGCTGTTTCTTCCTCTCTCTCTCTCTCTGGTAAGTGATTCACACCGCAAGAAGGAGCCACAGAGTGCAGTCAACCAGTCGCACCACTAGGTGTCAGTATGCACAATCTAACCGCACGTTTTGCAGCAGCTCCAACATTCAGCTGTTTACTGACTGACAAGCTGATGGCAGAGAAACAGAACAAAGGCTTTCAGAGTAACAAAAGAGAACTGATGATACTGAATTCAAACACCCACTTATTACGACTGTTTTATTCGACGGTTTGTAGGAATGTGATATTCTTGGATAAATCAGTGTTCAAATGTTTTTCAAAAAGTATTCCTGATCCACTTCTCATAAAGCCCCTATACATATCAGGGCTTTTTCCTGGCTCAGAATGGGCCTTTTGTGGGGTGACAATACAGACAAAAAGCATGATTTGTCCACGCACAGTAAAGGTGATGAGTCTGTGTTACCTTATTGGACAGAAATCCAGGAGTTTTTCTGGTATTTCTGACCATTTGATAAAAAACATAAAGTCTATTATGCTCGAGCAAAATGAAACTCCAATTTACAAAACTAGATTAAACGATGGTTTTCTCATTCTGAGGTCTTATCATGTTTGTGCTGATGATTCACCTTTGGCACTGACTAAAATAAAGTACACATCAATGCGGGACAAACCCGACATCTTCAGGAGTGTGTGAGCTCTACAGACCTCTAGTCTGGTTCACCTTTGTTGTTCTTATTCATAGAAATGGTTCACGTCATGTAATTCTCAGACTAGTGTCTAGTAAATCAGTTTAATATGATGTAGTTTGGTCTGGATTAAACCACTGTCTTATCATAAACATATTCAAGATGATATTTAAATCAGACTGAACCTCAGCCCACAGAGAAGGACAGTTCAACATCCTACAAGTGCAATTCAGTTAAAAAATGTCTTGTGCATCTAATTGTGATGAAGAGCGAATAAACGGAAATAGAAATATAATAGACAAATCAAACTGATTTCCTGTCACCTGCAGGCTATAAGAGAAAAACTCAGCTGTGTATTGCACAAAACCACGTAAGTGTATTTCAGTCTAGATGTCACAATGGTTTTGCCTGTGTGTTATTTTCAACCTCCGCCGGTTACTATGTCTGTGAAAGCGGTTCTGTCCTACTTTGATCTAGGTCACAAACACTTTGCCCTGTGCTTTATTTTCAGGGGAAAGAAGTTCAATATCTGTGAGAAGACGAGCGGGAAAAGAACAGAAATCCAATTCAGCCATTTTGGAATTTTCATAAAAATCTCTGAAATAAATAAATGACTCAAAGTAACATTATAATTAATGATAATTAGAAACTTCTTGGAAATTAGTGGCCTTGTTTAGCTTTAAGTTGAAGTCAGAGCAACATCCAGATGTAAATAATAACATTGATAATACATTTGCAAAAACAAAATATAAATAAATATAAATCTATAAATATATAGACTATTTTCTTTTTTTTCAATGTAAACATTAGTCTGTGTATTTAATATTAGAGCTTTCTTATGTTATTTATGTTTTCCTTACATGATTTATTATTTTATTTGATATATCTATATAATATAATTCCATTTAAGCAGAATTTTTACTTTTTGATGCTGTTTCTGTATTATTTATTATTTTATCTTATTTGTTGACATGCCATTTAATGATATATTATTTAATTGCTTACACACACACACATATATATATATAATGTTCTTTTTGTTGGTGTTATTACACATTTTGTTATTTTTATTTTCTTTAATTATATTTATCATTGTTTTTTGTTTTATTTGTTCTCGTGGTGACTGCACGTTTCCTTTAAATTTAATTTAAATTAATTATTTGTTTTTTGCTGGTATAAAAGTTTTTATTTTAGTATTATTAATTTGATATATTATTTTACATGTTTTCTATATTTTCTTTATAATTATTACTTTGCTTCATTGTTCTTGTGGTGACTGCAGTCTTTGTACTCATCAGTTGCACGTCTCCTTTAAATTTAATTTAAATAAATTATTTGTTTTTTGCTGGTATAAACGTTTTTATTTCAGTAGTAAGAATTTATTATATTATTTTAAATTGTTTCTATATTTTTAAATTTATGTTTATTATTATTATTACTGTTTTGGGGTTTTTTTGTTCTCGTGGTGACTGCAGTCTTTATGCTCCTCCAGCAGCGTGTCTCCTTTAAAACAGGCCGGACTGTCCCTTTAATCGGCGGATCACAACGCAGACGTCATCTAGCCCTTAAGCCGCCTGCGCTGATTGGCTGGAGGTGACGTCAACCCCACCGCTCTCCGTCTCCCCCCCTCCTTCCCTGCTGAACCATGACCTCATCGCTTTAGTTCATGAAAGTGCTAAAGTGCACCTCCTGTACCTTACACCCCCCCCTCCCTCCCTCCTCCTCCACACACACACACACACACACACACTAACCGTTTCCACCTAGCCTAGCTAAGCTAATCTTACTCCCTCCACCGGCCGACACCGTGTTGTACCGGCCGGTTTAAACGGCCGGAGGAAGCCGCTGGTACTCGTCCGTCACCGCGCTTTCATGCCTCGCTTGCTCCTGGCGCTGTCACCCTCTGTCAGCTGCGGGCTTCGCTGTCCGTCCCCCCGCCAGGTAAACACCGGCCAGCCCCAATGAAGACCCCGCCGCCGTCCTCCTCCTCTCCCCCCACCCCCCCACACATGGAGGCCAGTTGAATAACACGCAGCGTGGAGCCCCAGGTGAGTGTGTGTTTACCGAATAATTATTACTTTCTTAAATTAAAATAATAATAATAATTGTATTAATCGAAGTGCGTTGCTACTCTCTTAGCTAGCTGACGTTAGCAACGGCCGTCCGTGCTCGCGCCCCCCCCCTCCTGTGGTGCTGCAGCAGCGAGTCTGTCAGCGCGCGCTCCCTCCCCCTGCTGTATGTGCGCGCCCGTCTTATTATGGGAATTAAACCCGTCCGGGCTCAACTTATCGATTCTGCTATTGTGATAAACATTTGGCTGCTCGCCCTCCGATCGTTTCCAGGTACGTAAACGGCGTTTTTTTTGTCGTAATTTTCTCCTTAATTCGCCGCTTCTTGTCATCACCAGATCAACGGTGTGCTTCAATTTTCGCATGCGGACATATCCACGCGTCATAACAACACAGGGCAGGTTTCCCCACTCAAAACAACGCCCGCTGAGCTGTGGTCTGTTTAATCCGACATTTATTTCACGCCAGTTTTAGCCCGTGCAGTGTTATTGAAAGGCGACGTCCGCCGTCCGCTTTGTAGTCTATTCTTATTTCTAATGTAGGTCGGTTTATTATAGTGCGCTGCGTCCGCTCACCCTCCATCATTGTTATTAACGCTGCCAAACTGTATACAGCGTCCCAGCTATGCCTTTGTGCGAAGAAATGCATATTTTCAGGACACCTCCGTTCATACACATATTTATATTTGCATCAGTATTAGTGTGGTAATTGTTGT